ATCTCGACTCACTGCGACCTCTGTCTCCTGCGGTGGCTCACGCCTGTAATCCCAGCACTTTTGGAGGCCAAGACGGGTGGATCATTTGAGGTCAGGAGTTTGATACCAGCCTGACTAACATGGTGAACCCCATCTCTACTAAAATACAAAAATTAGCTGGGTGTGGTAGCCATACCTGTAATCCCAGCTACTTGGGAGTCCGAGGCAGGCGAATCACTTAAATCAGGAGACAGAGGTTGCGGTGACCCAAAATCGCGCCACTGCATTCCAGTCTGGGTGACAGAGCAAGAATCCCTCTAAAAAAATAATAAAATAATTGAATTTAAATTTAGGAACCTGATAAAATCCTAGCTGTTGTCCTCAAACTACCTGTATCAGGTGATTCTCCTGCCTCGGCCTCCTGCATAGCCAGGATTATGGGCATGTGCCACCATATCCAGCTAATGTTTGTATTTTTAGCAGAGACAGGGTTTTGCCATGTTGACCAGGCTGGTCTTGAACTCCTGACCTCAAGTGATTCACCTGTCTTGGCTTCCCAAAGTGCTGGGATTACAGGCGTGAGCCACCGTGACTGGCCAAACCTCTTTTCTTTATAAACTAAGCAGTCTCAGGTATTTCTCTGTAGCAATGTGAGAATGTACAGTGAGTAAAGATATTTCTTTGTGTGTGTTTATTTTTTAGAGGTAGGGTCTCACTCTGTTGCCCAGACTGAGTGCAGTGGTGAAATCATAGCTTGTGGTAGCCCAAACTCCTGGGTTTAAATGATCCTCCTGCCTCAGCCTCCTGAGTAGCTCGGATTACAGGCATGTGCCACCATGCCCAGCTAATTTTTATTTTTGTAGAAACGGGGGTCTCAATGTGCTGCCCAGACTGTTCCTGAACTTCTGAACTCAGGTGATCCTCCCATCTGGGCCTCCCAAAGTGCTGGGATTACAGGTGTCAGCACTGCACTTGACCTCTACAATTCTTTTAAGGAGATTTGCTCTAGAAGAAATTGGGGGATTACAGCAGTAGCCAGCTGGGAAGCTGGGGCCAAGAAAGATTTTTTAAGATGGGAGAAATAGCAGCACGCTTGGAGGTTGATGGAAATAACCTGGTAGAGAGGGGGAAACTGATGAAGAAAACAGGGAGAATTTCTTTAGGAGGGAGTGGCCTCTATGGCACTACTGGTGAGCTGACCTTAGCTAGGAGCTAAGTTCATCTACAGGAACAGGAGTAAGCAAACAATACAAGCACAGATTGATGCTTCACATTTACATTACTTCAATATTAAATAAAATTTGAAATTCAGTTCCTCACTTGTACAAGTCACATTTCAAGCACTCAGTAGCCCTATGTGATATGTGACAGAGGCTATTTTATTGGATAGAGTGGCTGTAAAACATTTCCATAATTGCAGAAAGTTCTTTTGGGCAGCGCTGGCCCTAGGGTATGACCATGAGGTTGGATGGAGGACAAGATCTCGGGAGGAGAGGCCAGGGTGTTAGAAAGATCGTGTGTGTAACTTGAAATCGCTGAGACCCAAGACAGAGGTAATATTGAGGTGAGTGAAGGTGGGTCCATAATTAAAATCATACAAAAGTGATTAATAAATGGAGACTACATGATATGGTTTGATGATAAGATAATTATGGAGGAGGCAGGGGGTGTGGTCTAAAAGCAGCAATGAGAAGCAAGAGGAACCCTACCCCACCTCCAGGTCCTATGGAAGGGAAGCCAGCTACCACTGCGAGGGCTGCAGGGAAGCAGTGTCACCAGGGGACAGAGCCAAGTTTCAGTTACTCCTCCAGGGGGAGGGGAAGGACACACTCCGAGAAGAGCTTGAAGGAAAGGAGGATTCTGCTGATGATTGCCCTGAGTTCCAGAGGGCAGGTGAAAGGGTTTTAAGCGATGCGGAGGATGGCTGGTGAGGTCAGAAAAGGGGATGAGCAGGGTCAGATGGGGATTAGATGTCCAGGGATGAGAGGTGACCTGGGAGTCTTGGGTTTCTTATAGGACGGACATTGGTGGGGATAAGGGACATGATGAGACTAGTCTTGATGGTCACAAGGTACATAGTGAGGAATCAGGGGTAAGGTGGGGTGTCTTGACAGGAGCTGGAGGGGTTGGCAATCCCCCTTGATGGTTGCTGGGAGAGGCACGGAGTCTGGCTGAAGGAGCATCTTACACTGAGCCATTCCTTTTCTTGGTGGCTGCTTAATGGTGGCCTTACTTGATCCCCACAACTCTATAAAGTACACACTATTGTTATTCAAATTTTACAGAAGCAGATATATTTTAAAAGCAAGAACTTGGAGAATGAGGGCCTTTAAATTGCAGGTTGATTCTTAATCACCAATGAGAAAGTTGAGAAGGGGAGTCTATTTGGGTGTGGAGGGGAATAAAGGACAGGGAAATGGATTCTGGTTTAATGTGTCTGGAGTTGCAAGTGCCAGCAGGGGGCACTGCCACGTGGAAATGAGTTGAGGTGCTCCAAACTGTGGAAGTTGGCTCAGCGTAGGTGTCGGAGCTGGAGAAATGGATTTAAAGTCAGCAGTCCAAGCCAGAGCAGATTTTTCACCCCCAGATCTTCCCAGGTAGAGGTCTTACCATCTCAGGGAAAATGGAATTGTTTCTAGGGGTGAGAAACAAGAATAGATTATAAATGAATTTCAAGGGCGGGCGTGGTGGCTCACACCTGTAATCCCAGCACTTTGAGAGGCCAAGGTGGGCGAATCATTTGAGATCAGGAGTTCGAGACCAGCCTGACCAACATGGTGAAACCCCGTCTCTATTAAAATACAAAAATTAGCTGGGCATGGTAATGGGCACCTGTAATCTCAGCTACTGGGGGGGTGAGGCAGGAGAATCGCTTGAATTCAGGAGACAGAATTCAGGTTGCAGTGAACCGAAATCACGACCCTGCATTTCAGCCTGAGTGACAGAGCAAGACTCCCTCTCAAAAAAATAGAAAAGAAAAAGAAAATAAGTTAATTTCAATTTAGGAAGCTGATAAAATCCCAGCTGTTGCCCTCAAACTACCTGTATAATATCTTTTCTCTCGCAGTGTTCTAAAGGATTGTCTCAATTTTACTGCTGGTTAAAGGCTAATGCTTTTGAAATATTGCTTTAACAGTGACCCCTAGTGTTACAAAGAGGTATCTGCTAACTGATGTAGTTTGGAAACGAAA